AAAGATATTATGAAATAATGAAATTATTAAAAGCTAAATGAAATAATGTATTTTAAGCTACCTAGAGAAGAATGTAGCAATGTTAAAACATCCAAACAGTTGCTCTATTCTCACTCCCAAGCATTCAAGGTCTCTTCTATACTCTCCCCATCCTCATCCTAAAAAAGTAAGATTTATTTAAAACAGAATAACAGAATTTATGTTATTTAATAGGATGATAATGACATGTATACTAATTTTCAAAATTAACAAAACACTCTTCATTATCTTATTCGCTCCTGACAGAAGCCAAAGAGATAAGATAGGGCAGGATTATTCCACATTTAACAAGCAAAGAGGAAATAAGTCTAATGAATGGGTATAATTTAAAGAGCTAACGGCACCAGCTCTGAAGGCAGAGAAACCTGCCAGAGTTGAATCCAGGCTTTGTCATACTTTCCTCATTTGTAAAATGAGAATGATTCATTCTGCAAGGATAAAAATGAGAGTAATTGTTCATTCACTCTTCAATAAGTATTAATTTAGAAACATTAGCACTTATTAGGAATCATACACTGTACTAGATAGCAAAGATGGAGCCTCAAGTGATACAGACAATAATTACTGTCCTCATGGAATGTATAATTAAGTGGAAGATAAGGCAGTTATAACATAAATCACACAAATACAGGTAAAACTACAACCATGTTTCAAAGTGCTTCAAAGATGAGATAAATCATTTTATGAGACTATCAGATTGGGTGGGAGTGTAACTGGGTTAAGGAGATCATGGAAGCCTTCCTCAGCAAACAACACAGGAAAAGAGATCTGAAGAAATGATGAAAGGAGCAAAGTAGTAGTTTTGATCAGCTGAGAGGAGAGACATAAAGATACTGATATTACAGTTTCCCCTACAAATGGTCCACCAGAACACCATATAGGGGAGCTCAGAGTTCATAAGTCCTACCCAAAGGCTAAAAGAGAGACCACGTATGGAAAAGAAAACTTCAAAATAAATTCTATCGAGACCATCAGAATTAAAAAGAGAAGATAAAGCACAGAAACCTGTTAAAAAAAAAAAAAAGAAACATTCAGGATATTAAAGGAACAAAATTCAGGATATTCAGGAACAAAAGGATATTAAAACTATGTTGAAAATAATTAAAAACTTAACAAAAAACTGTAAAGCTGAAGAGATATCTCAGACAGCAGAGCATAATGACAAAGGACAATAAAAGAAGAAAAAAGAAATTTGCAGGACTAGACCTGGAGAACTAACATCGTAATAACAGGAGTTCCAGAAAGAGAAAACAAAAGGGAAGAACTAATTTAAGAATCAAAGGACATTCTAGAAATATTTCATAAGCTGAAAAGAAAAAAACACTAGAGCAGATATGAAGAATGAAGAATCAGATGGTTCAGAGTTCTAGATATCTTTGTGACCCCATGGACTGTACAAGACAACAGGAAACAAGACAACAATTGTCTTCAACATTTGAATAAAAAAAGGTTTTTAACCTTTAATTCTATACCTAAGAATGAGCACAGAAAAATAACATCTTCATAACATAGTATCTTAAAAAACTTACCTCTCACGCCCACTCTCTCAAGAAAGTACTAGAGGATGTATCCCACCAAGGAAGAAAGTATACAAAGAAGATGTGATACAGACAGCTGAGGACAGGACACAGATGACAGGCAAAGAGAGGTCCCCGAATAATCCCATTCCAGGGCACACAGAGGGCAACTAAACCAGACTAGAGGAGTGTAATACAAAAGATAGACATAGGAGGGCTGCCGTCTAAGATGCTATCAACTGTTAATCTAAGAAAAGAACCTCCCAGAGATATAAGGGAAAAAATAGAATAGTCAATCATTTTAAATCCCTGAGAAGGTGGGAGGGAATGAGACAGCATCCAAAGCTGAAGTGAAATGATCATCTTTAGAAAGGAGGAATAACTCTTGTTATTAGACTTCTTGGAAGAGTCTTCAATACAGATGAAGCCTGTAATAGGACAGTAATGGAATTCCCTTTTAATGATTTCTATTTTCTCTAAAAATTAGCAGGAAAGACCACCTGCCAAGTGTGAAAGAGCTGGGGTAAGTCTGAGATTTTAAGACAAGGGGAAAAGTTGACAAAATTGTTGAAAATAGTAGAGAAAGTCAACCAGGGAAATACAGGAGGATATCTGAACAGTGTTGAGGATCCATTTGAAACTGGTTCCACATTAATTTGGGCTTCCCTGGTGGCTCAGATGGTAAAGAATCCATCTGCAATGCAGGAGACCTCAGTTCCATCCCTGGGTTGGGAAGATCCCCTGGAGGAGGACCTGGCAACCCACCCTAGTATTCTTGCCTGGAGAATCCCCATGGACAGAGGAGCCTGGTGGGCTACAGTCCATGGGGTCACAAAGAGTCGGACACAGACTGAGCGACTAAGCACAGCACAGCCACAATAATTTATGATCATGAATCTGCTTTATTGAAAGACTTTCTTCAATAGGACTTGATTACTTAGATGCTGGTAAACAGTCGTTCATCCAGAGTTGGGATTTCATTCATTTATAGGCTAGTGTGTTATTTAAATAATGAACTATACACACTAACCAGGTCAAAGAAGAAAATAAGAAAGAATAATATGGATAAAGTGATTAGAATAATGCTAGGGTAATATCAAGTAATAAAAAAAAAAAAGACAGTTGTGATTACTACTATCCATGGTCCTTTTATGTGAATTCATTATTCTGATTCATCATTTTTAAGTTATCTCTCTTCAACTAGTCTGAGCTCTTTAAGAATAAGAAGAGTGTCTTGTTTATTTTTGCTTCTTCCAAAGCTTAGCACAGTAGCTACCATACTGTAAGTAACTATTAAATGTGTATCACTGTATGATAAAATCAATGACTCAAATTTCCTGCTTTCAAGCTATTCATATAAAATGTTTTAAATTAGTTTTTATTGGAATATAGTTACTTTACAATGCTGTGTTAGTTTCTACTGTACAGGAAAGTGAATCAGTTATATGTATACATATATCCCCTCTTTCTTGGATTTCCTTCCCGTTTAGGTCACCACAGAGCATATAATAGAGTTCCCTGGGCAGTACAGCAGGTTCTCCCTGGTTATCTGTTTTGTACATAGTATCAATAGTGTATATATGTCAATCCCAATGGCTCAATTCCTCTCACGCACCCACTACCCCCTTGATATCCATACATTTGTTCTCTACATCTGTGTCTCTACTTCAGCTTTGCATATAAGATCATCTATACCATCATAAAAATTTTGTTTAAAAGATTCCAGTTAAGCTATTGTAACATTAACAAAAGTCCAGAAAATAGACAGCCACTAAAGGGCCACTATCAATTCAATGATAGAAACTTACTAAGTAGGTAACAGTATAATTAATGGATATTATTCAATATTGCACACTACAGAATTCGCATAAGGAAGGAAATGAATTAGCACACACAATGTGAAATTTGAGAATACAATTTCCTGTTTCTAAAGGATAGGAGGGATTCCTGCCTCGATTTTTTTATCATTCAATACCCTATAATGTTTCATGAAATGAGTAATCTGAAGCACATCTACCCAATCAAATACCTAGGTGTACAAGGACTTCAAAGTGTGTTCAAAGATACATAGTCTGAGGCCCAGCTAGGCCCATTAACCTCACCTCCTCTTTGTTTCTGCCAGGGAGCAAATCCCCCAAATAATACTGTACCTTTCCTGGTATATAAAAGGTCATAGGGTTTTAAGTAAGAAATCTTTTTTGTCTGTGGATTCAATTTAAAAAAACACGAATATTTTATTTTTGCTACTGTTTAAATTAATACAATGTTGACTTAAAAATATTCAAAGGGGAAAGTATATATTTGCCAAGTCTCCAGTTGGTCCGTGTAAGTCTGAAGCACTACGCAACACATAATAAAATGTCTAAACCTCGAGGTCAACTATTTTATGGGAAAATGTATGAAGAGTTCTTGTCTGGGATATCAAAACAATTCAGATCTCTCTCATCTCTTATATTCTAATCAAAAGAAGTCAGAATAGCATAGAAATCAGGAAAAGGGGTTTCACACAATAAATCAAAAGGAAATAAAAAAGCTGCAATAGGATATTTCTTAGTTCAGTATTACTCTCTCCATCCCTCCATTTTTCCTTAAAGGTTCCAGGATATGTCCTGTCTCGACTTTCAAGGAAAGAACTTGTAGTTTCTGAACAGAGTTTATCTCTTTCTCAGAGCCGCCGTATCAAAAAAAAGAAAAAAACAACTTGCTGCACTCCCTTCTCAACATCTCTGATTTGTAGCGCAAGTAATTCAATCAAAGCAATGTGTCTGGACAGTCATTAAGAAAAATGTATTTGAGAGGGATGGGTTGAAAATAAAGACAGAATAATCAAAAGTTTGGGTCCTTGAGAGGACAGGAGATAAAGAGATACAATTCAAGCAGAATTTGCCTACCTGCCATGAGAGCAAACCTGGCAGCAGGTTAAAAAAGTTTCTTCTCCACCCTTTGTCTTTTCCTTGAGTTAAAGTTAAAGATACATATAGATGTATAAACAGAGGAAGACCAAGATCGAATTTTGGCATACAAGTAATTGTAACCCATTCTAACATTCTCATATAACTACTAGTTATATTTTCTCTTGTTTTACCCCCAGGCACCTAAAATCATAAAACATTAATGCACAAGCTTATCTATCAATTAAGCATAAAATTATTAAACTTTTAAAATCTAAGCTTTTAAAAAATAATCATATATTAATAACCACTATACAGTAAATAAATGCTGCTGCTAGGGAATAATACACCCTTTTACTATGATTTGGCTTTAAACATTTTCTTATACTAAAATTAATTCAGAATTATATGAAACAGAGGTTATGTAAACAATACAAAGTATATTCCATATTTCAACAAAATGCAAGGTACTGCCTGCTATTCTATAGACTCAATCCCATACACCCAACAGTCAACTCATACAAAATTACTGCAGATATTAAGGCTGTATTACCTTCATAATATTAACTAAATCTGTTTGATAGTAGCGATCCTGGTGCGCATTTGCTGCCGCTAATGTAAGAAGATAATCATTCCTTGCGTGGGTAGCTTTGGAATTACACTCAGATCGTCGGGCTTTTAACTAAAACATAGTAAGAGGAAAAAACAGTTAGTGCAAACCGATACAGTACTGAAAAACATACAAGGGTACTACCACTCTTAATTGGTTCCCCAACAAGAGTAAAGATGACCAGGTGAAGAAACATTTATATGCATATAAAAATTCTTCAACTCTATTGAATAATTCAATAAACAGTGACTGGAACTGTGTCACACAGTAAATTCAGTTCAGTTCAGTCGCTCAGTCATGTCCAACTCTTTGTGACCCCATGAACTGCAGCACACCAGGCCTCACATAGTGAGAGGATTTTCAAATATTTATTATTTATACTTAACATATTTTCAAAGCTTTTGAGAGAACTTCAAAATTTTATGCTCATTTTATTCTGATGGGACAATAATGGTTCTCAAATTAAGTAAGTCTCTTATCTTCAAAGACATCAGTAAATCTGCTGGAGTTAGAAACTAATTTTAAAAAAATCAACACCCTCTAATGCGCCAAAAGAAATGCATGCTAGAGGGGAGCTTAGCAGTCAAAGGCAGGTCACTAAGCTTATTTATCAGGTATTCTACAGCTGGAGGATCCCACAGGAAAAATTCACTTGCATCTGGTCTAGAATATTGTGCTCAGAGGTATAAATCTAAGTGAAATGGATTTTGTAAAGCTTTCTAAAGCCCATAGACCAGTTAAAGTCTCTTGGACTAAGTGCTGAAGGCAACAGTCCTAAGCAGGTAGGTACAGAAATTTACCTCTAAAGCAATCTTGAGAAGCAGGAAATATCCAAAGGGCTGACACCTCACTGAAAAATTGCATGAACTGGGAAAAAAATTTCTTCCCTAATGACATTAAAATGCTTCTCTAGATGGAAATAATTGAATTGCACCTTCAAAAGGCCCAATTCTTTTTTTTTTAAAGCTAAGGTTTCTTAATTGTGAAATAAAGTTTTCAAAAACTTACCTTTACGCTTGCCTTCTGTAAACTGATTCTTGATTGAAAAAGACTAAGTTTAGATCTATAATGAAAATAGAAAAGTATATTTAATAACATTATCAAATTACATCATAATAAAATGATTAAATAGTATAATTAATAAATTTTTAAACAAGTGACCTTTTCCCATAACACTATTCTAAAAGAAAACTAGATAAATAGAAAATCGAAAGCTATGATTATTTTCCTTTATTTTACTACAGGAAGAATTTAATATTATGGTGAAAAAGAAAATAGTGGGATTAATAAAAAATATCCTGAATGACAAAAATACAATTTGACAAATTCAATATATTGGTATTGCCTAATAAACAGAAGCCATCAAACTACAGATTATTCCCTGTATCATACAATTGCACATACTTTAGTACCTGCAAGGAAGCTCAAAAAGGCCCATGGACAACCAGCCTATGGAGGCAGAGATTAGCAGGCTTTCCTGGCCACGTGCAATAGGCTGTAACAATGCCAGGAATGCAACCTAAGGTATGATACTGACAGGCTCTACAAAGGCCTTAATTCCATCATGTTTCCCATTAAAAGTTCTTGTTGGAGTGCTCCCTCCACTCTTAACACAGTATTTAGAACATAGTGATAAAGCCCTTTGACTTTCTGCCCTTTATGATTTTACTGGTTAACCTTCTCTTTTCTGGAGTCCTTATTTCTCTCGATCCCTCTCAGCTTGTGAAGGGAACCATAATTAAAATCAGTAATAAAAATATGCTAGCTTTACCCAAACAACTAGAGATAAAAGTAAGGAGAAAGTCAACAGACAAATGTTAAGGAACAACCAACATTCCAACGACCAGTGATTTTTGAAGCTGCAATGTTTGTCTTGACTACAGTGTCATGGTGATTGCCATGGGAAAAGTCAATGCATGTGCTGGAAGCTATGCCATAATATGAAATAAAGTTGCAGGCCATTTGGTACTGGAAGACAGAGCAAGACAGTCTCGGCTGAGCAAATGTGAAGAGGATAGCAAAAGCTGTCTCTCAACTTTCTAAGAGAAAAATATTCTCTTGTTAGATGCACAAATAAGCATTCCAACTGCTCCGCTGTTTAAAAAAAAAAAAAAGTTGGATCTAAGATACTACTGTTATTTTTCTACTTTGTTATTATATTCATACTTGATGGGGGTTTTAGTAATCAGATTCCTATTCGTTTTGATCTAGAAAAGCAAAGGCTACAGACTTTAAAACTGGAGTGCCTGTTCAGGGTTAAGAAAGACTGTGTTTGGGGTATACTCATTTCTACTTTTTTTTTTGTAGCCATTATCTAAACAGTCTGAGTTGCATCTAGATTTTCTAATACAAGGATTTAGGTTTACAGTTTCTGCTTCATTTGCTAATCCTCATACAATCCTTGTGTGGCAATAAAGAAAGTACTAGTAACAAGTAAAATAATAAAGTTTCTAACTTCAAAGATTATCATCTAGAACAAATAAAATATATATTGATACAAACAATGAACTATACTGCACACTTCCCTTCCTTAGCCACCTTCCAAATGTTAATGTTCCTGAGGTTTCCAAACTCAACTTCTCATCTCATTTTATATATCATGCCATCCTTTTAACTATCATCTGATATGCAACTAACCCCCAAACCAAGATCTTCAAGCCCAAATTCTTCTGTGAGAGTCAGATACATAACCCTCTACCAAATATATTAACTCCATGGTCCCACAGGTTTTTCAGAACCTATATATTTAAAGTGGAACTCATCCATCAAACTGTATTACTTCCTTCTATGCTCTCTCCTAATGTACACATCTCACTACCTGTCAAATCATCTGTCAAAACTATATATAGCACAGTTTTCACTTCCCCTTCCTGGTCTTTCTTCTCATCTCTACTTAGAAAAACCATTCTTCAGAACTGTGTCCAAATACCACTTCTTCTATAAAGGTTTCCTTTCTCATTAGGCAAAATTAATCTATCTTCTAGACTTACATAACAGTGTTTTCACGTAACTACTAAAATAAATTACTAGGTGACATTAGGCATTTACTTTCTTTGAGTTTACTGTGAATAAACAAACCATAAGTTTACTTTAATACACATTTGTTTTTAATTCTAGGCTCTAAACTTTTTGAGGGCAAAGCTTACCTTACTCATTTCTGGATCCATGGTACTCAATATAGAGTAATCATTCAAAAAAAAAAATTAGCGAGTGAACAAAGATATTTCTTTCCCTGTTGTTGAGTTAATTTTCAGAAAAGTTACATATGGAATGAAATGTCTGATCTGCTGTATCCTCTTTGAATCTGAACCATATTAGGAAGTAGTTTCTTGTGATCAGCATCTCTGCCAAATCCATTTGTGTGTGTGTTAGTCGCTCAGTCGTGTCCAACTCTTTGCGACCCCGCGGACTGTAGCCTGCCAGGCTTCTCTGTCCATGGAATTCTCCAGGTAAGAATACTAGGGTGGATTGCCATTCCCTTCTCAAGAGGAACTTCCCAACCCAGGAATTGAACCCTGGTCTCCTGCATCACAGGCAGATTCTTTACCGTTTGAGCTACAGGGAAGTCCCTGTGTCAAACCCATACCTCTCAAGAAAAGCCCTATAACTGTCCTCATTTTCACCCGTTGACCTTGGCTCAAGTAGGTATTTATATATGCTCTACAAAATCCATCAATTCTCTGTTCTCAAATCCCTGAGAGTTTAAAAAAACAAGTTCTTAAAAACCACCATGACAGGGTATCCCTAATGGAGAGAATCTAATCTAAAAACTTCAGATCTTACTGGGAAGACGGGTTCACCCACTCTTAAGAAAGTATAGGAAATATCTGTATGCTTATAAAAAGAAAATAATTAAGATAATAAACTAAGAGAAATATTAAATATGTTTTCCAGGACCATTAAGCATGTTATGAGTATTTATTTACCATCCCTTGGTACAAAATAAACTTTCCAGGAGCCCCTAAATTTTCACATTTGCCTATGAGATTGTTTAATTTCTTGCAGATAAAAAAAATACATATTAGAAAGACACCCCTGACTCCTTTCTAGTCTGCACAAGCGTTTAATTGTACAGACTTTCTGGTTCCATGACTATAAGTTCAAACTCCTACATTTTCCATTAGTGAGCTGACCAAATGGGAGTCTTACCCTTCCTTACAGACATCTTCAGAATACCGTTCTATAACACAGGTTTCTTTATTCTTTTTGGACTCTGTAGGAGAAGGAGAGGGTGGGATGTTTCGAGAGAACAGTATCGAAACATGTATATTATCTAGGGTGAAACAGATCACCAGCCGAGGTTGGGTGCATGAGACAAGTGCTCAGGCCTGGTGCACTGGGAAGACCCAGAGGGAGCGGGAAGAGAGGGAGGTGGGAGGGGGGATCCGGATGGGGAATACATGTAACTCCATGGCTGATTCATGTCAATGTAAGACAAAAACCACTACAATACTGTAAAGTAATTAGCCTCCAACTAATAAAAATAAATGAAAAAAAAATTTTAATCTTTCCTCAAGCTGTCAGTGCAAAAATCTCTAACTGCTAGCTTTACATTTCTTTGTGTTATAAACTGCCAGTTCCTTCTTTTCCTAATTATTTTCAAATAAAGGACTTTTAATTCACATATACTGAAAGTAAAATTCACACACAGTTGCTAAAGCATACATTAAAAAGTGTATGTTAGAACTTCATATAAGAGAAAATTCTAGGGCAGGATTTCTACACTGAGGTCAGTGCTCTTATTCACTTGATGTGTCCATTATCCTTCAATGGCACACTGAGGATCAGGGATTTTTTCACCTACAACTGATTTAGTCTGGCATGAGAAAAATGAGGCTCTAAAACCCTGATATTCAGACACTTAAGCAACTCAAGCAGACTTTTGCTAAGCTTCCAATACAATGTTCATTTGTCTTCTCTCTTTTTCAAAATTTAATTTAATGTGAAAACTGATCAAACATTCTCATTTTGCTAATATTAATGTAAATAAAATCAACCAATGTAAGAGAAAACTTTGATCTAAAGTATGTAACATTTACAGGTCTGATGAAATGCCCTATACAAACAGAAAACAAAGTACTGGCAAAAATAACATTTATTTGCATAATTACTTTTTCAGAAATGCTAAAACACATACTTTGCCTCGATGTCAGCTTTCTCTCGTACTGCATGAGCCATCTGTTCAGTCTCAAAGTATTTCTTCTTGCCTTTAGCTAAATCTTTTACTGTCTCTTGCAATTCAGTTTGGATCTTTGTCAACTGGTCCACACACTGTAAAATACAAAGTGCAGTTTATGATTTTAGTCTTTAGGCTTACAGAAAATGAGTCTGTCCTAAGAACTATGCACTATGCCCTCAGGATGGAAACACAGGAGAAGAATCAGCACTTTTAGAACCCTTCAAATTGCAAATTAAAATCCAGTGAACAGCTGGTACTCCCATTTCAAGTAATGTATGGAAGAGTGTCACATTTTGCCTAGTAACTCTGCTTTGAGAAATAACCTCTGAGTGCTGCTGATAACTGACTAGGGCATAAGAAGAGCAACAAAGAAAATGTTCTTAGTGTTGGAGCACAGCAATAAAGGCAAAAGATTAAAGCAATTCTATAATCTTCGTAGTACTAATAAAGTCTCCTATGGCACAAAGGATACTGAAGGATTCATTTCAGCACTGAGTGAAGGAAGAGTGAAATCTGAGTTTAACATGATAAGTCCAAGATGAAGGAGAGAGCAAGAAACCTGGGTACCGCATAACAATTATTACTCAAACTATCCCAAATTCAACTCTTTGGATACAGATTCTAGGAGAAGGGACAGACATAATAACTCAAAGAAATATTTAATGAATAATTCTTATAACACAATGAGGCCCAAGTAACACTGCTTTGGGACCCTTCTGGATGTCCAAAGTGTAATTTTTTTCCCCAGTTGGAAACAGTTTGAGGCCAGTTTACCCAGTTTCACCAGTTTGAATTTCCCCAGTTTTACCAGTTTGAGGTCAGTTCAGGGAAGCCTCCATTGAAAAACTTCTGAGCCTGGAATAACACTGTCAATATATGGTGGAGACTGAAGAAACTCAGCAAAGCAGGAAGAGGTACTGGTTAAGAGACTACTGTGCCAGGATGAACAGTGTAGAGTAGAACAAGGACATGAGAAGAGCAAGGATAAAGCACAAATAAATTTAAACTTAAACATCTGACACACAGGCTAGAGTTTCTCAGTAACTTAGGTGTTAAGAAAGGGACTACTCTACAGGAAGAGAGAGAACTGAAAGGTTCCCTATGGGTACATTTATTGAGCACGTAATAAGTGTCAGGCTATGAATAAAGGGTAAACAAAAACAAAAACACCTCTTTCCTCCTTCATAACAACCTGACACTCCCACAGAATAGTGCTAAACATCCCAATAATGCCGTGCTTGCATGTGTGAAGAGCTAAGAGAATGCTCCATCGGTACAATTAGATATTAATAATCAGGAAGTGGAGCATAGCCTGAAAAAATACAGCTGTGTTTAATGGGCAAAAGGGATGGACTATTTAAAAGAAGAGTCAGGTATAAGGTATCTATATCCAAAATGTATGTCCAAAACATACATTACCTTAGTGGTAATAAAACAGAGGAATGATTGAATAAAGCAGAATAAATGAAAGATGTATTCAGAAGTAAAAAATAATAAACATAAAGCTTGTATAGAAACATTAACAATAAATTAGGAAATAGAGAATGCAAAAAAAAGAATAATCTAAAAATAATTATACATGTATTAATTACAACTACTATAAAAACTAAGAAGGTAAAGGAGTAGGAAACACAAATAGTCTACTGAGGTGAAGTTATTCTTCTGTAAAACTATTTAAACAATAAATAAAACTGACAAAACAGAGAAAATTTTAAAAAAGAACACAAAGATTAAAATGTTACAGAGGGGTTAACATTCAAATATATAAACAGTTCAATTTGATATTAAAAAAAAACCTGATTAAAAAATGGGCAGAAGATCTGAATAGACAATTTTCCAAAGAAGATATACAGATGGCCAACAGGCATGTGAAAAGATGCTCAACATCACTAGTCATCAGAAAAATGCAAACCAAAACTACAGTGAGGTATGACTTCACACCTATCAGAATGACTATCATCAAAAATACCACAAATAACAAAACACTGGCAAGGCTGTGGGAAAAAAAGGGAACCTTGGTACTCCATTGGTGGGAATATAAACTGGAGAAGCCACTGTGGCAAATAGCATGAAGGTTCCTTACAAAAACTTAGAACTACCATATGATCCAATAATCTACTCCTGGCAATATATCCATAGAAAATGAAAACACTAATTTAAAAAAATACATGCACCTCAGTGTTCATAGCAGCATTATTTACAATTGCCAAGATCTGGAAGTATTCTAAGTGTCCATCAACAGATGAATGGATAAAGAAGATATGGTATATATACAGCTCACACACAAAAGAATGCTACTCAGTCGTGAAAAAGAACGAAAATTTGCCATTTGCAACAACATGGATGGATTTAGAGGGTATTATGCTTAGTGAAATAAGTCAGAGAAAGCCAAACAGTGTACATTAATACTTACATGTGGAATTTAAAAAATAAAGTAGTGAATACAACAAAGAAGAAGCAGACTCATATATATAAAGAACAGACCAGTGGTTATCAATGGAGTGAGGTAAGGGGAGAGGGGCAAGAGATAAGATACATGAATATATTGTGCAGCATGAAGAATATAGCCAGTACTATATAGTAACTATAAATGGCAGTATAATCTATACATATTTTAAACCATTATATTATTCAACTCAAACTAATTTAATACTACAAATCAACTATACTTCAATTAAAAAGATATTACAGATGGAGAATTTTAAGTCAAATTGGTTTTGATCATGAACAATTTGTTTTAGACTATCCTCTTCTTGTCTATTAACTGTAAAAGTTAGACAACAGAGATTTTTAGAAATAGCCAGAATTAAAGAACAGCAATACACACTGGACTTAAGGGATTTAATATCTGGAAGAAGAGAAGCACAACTAGGTAAGCTCTACATTCACCTTGACTTTTTTCCTTATGGCAATTTTTGAATCACAGTACAGAGAAGCAGAATATAAAACAGAAAGTGGGGGGGGGGGGTTTGTTTGTTTGTTTTTAACTAGACTGTGGAAACAGAGGTTGGAGTTTGAGGGTGCCAAAAGAGTAGGAACTTGAGAGATTCAATCTGGGAAGAAGGGTACTACAGAGAAGCAAGCCATAAAATCTATGCAATTTCCCCAAGTCATCAGTTGACTTCTAAATGGCATTTGTGGAATGAAGCTACAACAAATTCAGGAAAGAACAGTAGCTAAAAGGCTAATGAGCTGAGCAATGAACAGAGGGAGCAGAGCAGCTACATGATGTTGAGAAGACAAAGGCTGGAGTTCAAGTCTTATCAAAACAGAAAGGCTTTGTTAAATATCCTATACTTTCAGGTAAGACCCCAGAAATAAGGACAAATGTGAAACAGACAAGCCTAAAAAGTCTAACACTAGACCCTATCAGAATAAAAGTGATTAAATAGTATTCTATCTGCCTGCTAAAAAACTTAACTCTCTTTGGAAACAGAAAACATCTTCCAGAGCCACTACAATTTTTATCCACAATATCCAGCACCATGAGGCTTACAAAAGCAGTAGAACCAAATAACCAAAAACAAGCAAACAAACAAAAAAACAGGTAATGATAAAAAGAGACCTACAGAGTTCAGATAGTGGAACTATGAAACAGAGATTAGGAGTAATACATTAAACAGGAGAAAGAAAAAACATGAAGAACAGTATCAGAAACACAGACTCCATTTTTTAAAAAATAAAAAATTCTAGAACTGAAAAATACACTGAGATTCCAAAAGATAAGTTTTAAAAGCAGATTAGAAATAGCAGAACATTGGGGTGCACGTGTCTCTCTCAGATCTGGTTTCCCCTGCTGGTGCACTGGGAAGACCCAGAGGGATGGGATGGGGAGGCAGGCGGGAGAGGGGATCGGGATGGGGAACACATGTAAAACCATGATTCATGTCAATGTATGGCAAAAACCACTACAAATTGTAAAGTAATTAGCCTCCAACTAATAAAAATAAATTAAAAAAAAAAGAAATAGCAGAACAGCACAGGAGCACTATACACAATAGTGAAGAAATGAAAACAACCCAAGTGCCCATCGAGAGATAATTGTATAAAGAAGATGTAGCATATACAGGGAACTCTAGTCAACACTCTGTAACCACCTATACAGAAATAGAATCTAAAAAAGAGTGGATATAAGTGTATATATAACTACACTACAGCAGAAACTAAGAAAACATTATAAATCAACGATATTCAAAAAAATTATAAAGATGTGGTGTACACAACACACTGGACTATATTTAGGCATAAAAAGAACAAAATTTTGCCATCTGCAGCAACATGGATAGACCTACAGAATATCACACTAAATGAAGAAAGTAATACAAAAACAAATATTATATGATATCACTTATATGTGGAATCCAAAAAATACAAATGAATCTATATACAAACAGAAATAGACTCACAGACATATAAAACAATCATATTATCAAAGAGAAAAAGCAGGAAAGGAGGGATAAATTAGTATGGGATTAATGGATACAAAGTACTATGAATAAAACAGGTAAGTAACAAGGATTTTCTGTATAGCATAGGGACCTATATTTAATATCTTGAAATAACTTATACTGGAAAATGATCTGAAAAATATATAAAACTGAATCACTTTGTTGTACAACTGAAAATAACACAGTATTGTAAATCAACTCTACTTCAATCAATCTATAAAAACACACACACAAAAAAAGATAAATAGCAGAACAGAGTGTTAATCAACTGGAAGATAACAGTTGAAAATATTCAGACTGAAGTGCAGAAAAAAGTACATTAATAAAGAAAGTGCAGAAAAAGTACAAAAGACATGGAAAGAGACAAAAGGTCTAATAGCAAAGAAGTCCTAACAGGGAGGTAAATGGAATTATGTTATTAAAACATTTTTACATTGTTTAAGAGGTGGTAAAATACTAATTCACAATAGACTTGAAGTTTGAAGAGCAGTAAAAGTACCAATTCATGGTAAATTACAGTATGTCAAAAAAGCATATTGGAATCTCTAAAGTAATTACTAAAAGAACAAGATTATAAAATTAAAAAGCTAATAGTGAAGGAAATTTTGATAATAAAAAGTACAAGATTGCTCAATGTCATTAATCACCAGGGAAACTACAAATCAAAACCACAATGAGATATCACCTCATACCTGTTAGGATGGTTAGTACCAAAAAAACAAATGACAACAAGTATTGGCAAGGTTGGGGAGAAACCGGAACCCTTGTGCACTGTTGGTGAGAATGCAAAGTGGTCCAGCTCTTTATGGAAAAGAGTATGGCGATTCCTCAAAAAATTAAAACTACAACTATCAGACATTATCCAGCAATCCTACTTCTAGGTATTTATCCAAAAGAAGTGAAATCAGGATATCAAAGCAATATTAGTATTCCCATGTTTACTGCACCACTATTCACAAAAGTCAAAATATGGAAATAACCAAAATGTGGATAAATGCATGAATGTATTTAAAAATATGATATATACATAAAGTAGAATATTATTCAGCCTTAAAAAAGGATATCCCATGCATGCATCCATGCAACAAAATGGTTGAAACTAGAGGACATTATGCCAAGTGAAATAAGCCAGTCACAGAAGAACAAATACTGCATGATTCCACTTACACGAAACACATAAAATAATCAAACATAAAAAATTTCAGTTATACAAAATAAATAGTTCTAGAGATTGTCCGCACAACATTGTGCTTATAGATTACAATATTGTATTGTACACTTAAAAAATCTGTTAAGAGGGTAGAGCTCATGTTAAGTGTTCTCATCACACTAAAAGGAAAAAAGAAAAATACAAGATTAATCCAAAAGGAGGCTAAAAGAAAAAAGAAAGTATGGAGAAAGGGTTGGAATACAGAACGAAAAATAGATGATTTTTTGATCCTATGTGGAGTCAATTTGTTGTAAAGTTTGGGAAGTACAAATGGAGAAGTCAATATTTGTGGCCATGTGTTGCTTTTCTTGCTCCACTGGGAATCCATCTCAATTTTCCTTTGGAGAATCATCTTTTCCCATTTTTAGTCCATGTAGTTTGCACAAGGACTGTAACCTCTGTAACTCAAGAAAAGTCAATGAGCCTCAATTCTGGTAGTTTTGTTAGAACTTTGGGGAAAGTGGAAATTGCGGAATTGCTAGCTCTGATATTTGTAAATCTGGCATGTTAGGGGCGGCACAATGTGGGGAAAGTTGCTATGCCATAGAGAGTTGCTGAAGAATGAAGCCACCGGGGAAAGCTAACGGATGGGAAGAAACACGAATTCTAATGCCATCATTTGAGCTCCTGGATCCACTCCTGCCTGGATTCCATCCCCGCTGAAATTTTTAGTTATACATTCTCTTCTTGGTTTAAGTCAGTCTGAAGTAAGTTTCTGTCATCTGCAATTTCAGAGTCCTGATAGGTATGCTCAATATATGGTGTGTGTGTAACTTGCTTCAGTTGTGTTCAACTCTTTGTGACCTATGAACTATAGACTGCCAGGCTCCTCTGTCCATGGTATTCTCCAGGCAAGAATACTGGAGTGGGTTGCCATTCCCTCCTCGAATGCTCAAAATATATTTAGTGTTCAACAACTGCTTAGATAAAACATAAACACCATTATTACTGGCTATAATATGTTAATTCACAGATAAGTGGACTTGTCAAACCTCACCAAACATTCTTTGCTCCAGTATGTTAAGTGAAATTCAGATCATAGAAGAGCACAAATCGGTTAACTCTTTCAAAATATTCTGATATTGAGAAATGTAGAACTTCCAATAATTCAAATAGATTTGGTGAATGCACCGGCTATTTGAAACATCATATTTCCTCCCAGTTAGGAAGGAGCTAGATCAATTCTCTACCTCTGTTTCCGGCTCTCTCTGTGTGTGCTGATGGATACACACATACACAACATTTTTTCTTCCAATCAAAAGCCTTGTTCAGTCAGTGATCATGTATTGTTTTCAAAGAAAATTTTGAAAGACAATTTTGAGCAGAGGCATTCTTATAGAAATATGTTAAAACCCACTGATACTACGTGAGTGTTTGAATGAGATATATTTATTAATAACATTGATCTCGTGCTACTAAAATCATCTTTGGCAAAATGGAAGATTATTTAGTTTTCATTTGTAAAAATTAGTGAAAATCCGAAGGACAATTAGGATCAAAACAATGGCTTGTGAAATATTATTTCCTTAAATAATTACTTTAATAATTTTTAAAGTATTAATACTCCTATAAAAAACATTTAAATACTTCTTAGGCATCATGATAATCTCTAATTTTGTAACTATTTCTAAGAGGATCTAATTCAATTACCTACTTTCAATCACAAGCTTTTCATAAAAATCACATTATTCTTTCTATGAATTTTAAAATTCTGTATAATCATTTAAAATTTTTTATGTAGTTTATATAATTAAACCTTAGAGTAACCCAATTTTGGTAATAAGTTCGCTATATATGGTCAAGATGTGTCAATTTCCTTTAAATTATTATGCTAAATGGATCAAACGGAAACTAAGATTTTATAAAGACTTAGTGGGATTAATAACATTGTAATTGTTTTAATATACACCAATCTAAGTAGGTCTACTTCCTTGAGTTAAATTGAAAAGTGATATTTGTAAGAAATGTTTACTGAGCTTTCAGATTCAAATCACACTCACCTGTGTCAATTAATAAAATACAGTAGCCAGAGGGAACATGTTGAAATCAGAAAGTCTATTAAAATCAGAAACATCTGGACCACAGAGAAAAATTCAAAGTGTAAAATGCAACTGAACATAATCTTGCAGATTATAAATGTAGTAGTGAGATATTAAGAGAAAAGAACAAATAGAAACGATACCCTTTTCAGTTGCTGTTCTTTTAGGCTTCTCACTGTCCTTGCAGGCTCAGAAATGAAGTTTTTATAGTTTTCACATATATTGATCCGAGACTGGGCTACCTGCATTGTTCCCTCGAGAAAAGATTTCCAAACAGGATACATGCTCCTAAATTCAAAGAGGGACAGAAAAGTATTAGGCAGAGAAAAGGAAGAACAAGTTGCCTAACCTTTTGCTCTCTGGCTAGCACCAACAAACAGAATTAATAGTTTCTTTTTAGTTTAAAGTGAATTTATATTGGTTCATAGGTAGTAATGTTTTTAGCATATATAACAACTAGAAACATAGAATACGCTCTGTTTCTCTATAGCCTGACAATAGGCTGTTTTGATTCATCAGCTATTCATGATACTGGAGTAAAGTGATACAAGGATTACAATTCTAGACAAAGCTAACACTATAAAAAAATTAGTGAATAATTCAGACTTTCCAGGCCTTTCACTGTTTCAGGACTGTCATTATGAATACCAAATTTCATTATTTCATTAAGGTATTTTCCTGATTTTAGAGATGAGGTAACTGAGGCTCAAATTTAGAAGATCACCCTAGCTCACACAAGAATGTGGCAGTACTGAGATACAGACAAATACCTCTAAAGTACATTTTCAACTATATTATATTGCTCTCTTACATAAATGGATGTGACTGGAAAAAAAATCACGAACAAATCCTTATGTTCTTGAGAAGTCTATGTTATTATTGCTCTACATCTGTTTCTCTGTTGTAATAACACTTAGCCAGAATCTCATTGCTGCTTGGAGTCATTCCAACCAAGTTCCATCACCTTTGCTTGATAAATGTGCTCTCAGCAATCTTTTGGTAAAGTCAAAGAATTATTCATCCTTTGCTTTCTGTAGTCAATTTCCTTTTCAAACCTTCTCTTCTGCTTTCCTAAATGCCTGAGTCCCAACATGATCCTATACTCGTTATAAACATATTTTAGAACTTGTAACAATGAGTGGTACTTTGCTAAAAAGAGATATTGCATTGATATAATATTCATCTAATAAGATTTCTCTTCTTACGTCTAATGGATTTCCTGCTACAGCAATATATGGGACCATGTGCTATCGATACATAAAATGCTAGCTGTTGGGTCAACAGATGACAGTGTGAAAACAAGAAAAAGAAAAGTAGCCTGGGTCCCCGTTCTACTTGGAACTAAAAAAAAAAACCTTGAAACTGTATTTTTCAACTACAGGGATAAATAGTTTGTGCAATGGATTGGTAGTTTATATAATACACTGAATGCATCAGTTTAGATGGAAATATTCACTTCTTTAAACAGAGGTATATTAATTCACCTCTGGAAAAAAAGTCAGTGTGTTGTGCCAGCAAAAACTGTCAGCATAAAACCAATGATGGAGTTTAAGAGCAAAATGAATATAGGATAATAAATGTTAACCAAACCTACTGTGGTAATCATTTCACAATATGCATAAGGCAAACCATCACACTGTATACCTCAAACTTATACAGTGAGGTCTATCAATTATTTTTCAATAAAACTGAAAAAAACAGCAAACTTAATGTCCCCCATGGTCTCACGGCATGATGATTGATGGAATCTAGAATGTAAACTCACCACAGAACTTCGTAAGCAGTCCAAAATTGATAATTCTCGAGAATGCACTAAGAGAAAAATTCAGTTCTCTGCTTTGTAATTATTAATTTATACTTAAAATACATTTTAAAACCATAAAGAAAATGAGAAAGAACCATTATAATTATAATCTGAATGAAGCAAGGAAAAATGGAAAGAAAGGACAAAGGAGGGGAATAGGGAAGAAAGAATTCCTTCATCCACACTTGCCCCTTCTTCCTTTTACCCCTCCATCTAACTGACTGCTGCTTATCCTTCAAATCTCAGCTTAAATGGAACTTCCTCAGGGAAGTCTCCCTGGAGAAGGGAATGGCAACCCACTTCAGTATTCTTGATGGAAAATTTCATGGACAGAGAAGCCTGATGTGCTTCAGGCCGTTGGGTAGCAAAGAGTCACCACGACTAAGTGACTGACACAGGGAAGTCTCATGATCACCACCAAGCCAATGCACAGACTCAATCAAATCCTTCCTTGTTCACATGGTTCACATGGTCTGTTCACATGGTTCTAGCACTTTTCCTTCAATTATAAGTATCTTTAGGTAATTGTTAATGTTTGTCCATCTCACTACAGAAAAAATTTCCTGAAGGCAGGGGTGTATGTCCTTCTCTTAATATTATTTCTATGGCCTAGCACGTGGCCTAATAATTAGAAAGGTTATAATAAGTATGTATTGAATGAAAACAATGAATGGATGGATGAATGTATAAATCATAAGGACTGTAAAATAAAAAGTCCTTTCATTATAGAGATCTTTAGAGATTAGCAGACAAATACATAGCACGCAAATATTTTCAACAATGATACACCATGAATTGCCTGAAATTTGGTTACCAGTTAGTGAGAAGATATGGGTTCAAGTTCTAGTTTAACCAATATAATCTGTAGCACATCTCACTACACTTTCATTTCCTCTACTGGAAAATGGAAAAATAATAAAAATACCAGCACCATGTACCGCTATTATAACAATTAAATGCAAATGATGTGAAAATTCTTGCCACACAGATTCTTTTAAATGAATAAACAGTAACAGTCACAGAATTGCAGAAGAAATACTACAGAAGTACTTTGTAGAAGTACTTCTTATTAACATAATAGTGGTAGTTCCAATGACAATGGTGTTTTTCATTTCAACTGAGAAAATAATAATGGGCTGTAGAGTGAGTTCCTAAAAATTTCATTTCCCTAGGCTTCATATATAAAATTTTGTAACATAAGGAAAGGTATCAAGCATTTACAAGTATTTTACTATTCTGCTCAGCTGAGGAAATAAGACTCAAAATTATAAAAGAAAGCAAGGAAATTCTATTAAGAACCTATCACATTCTAGGCACTATGTCGTGTATTTTACATGTACCACATCATTTAATCCTTACGACAACTCTGTAAGACAGGCATTATCCCTGTTTTGCAGAGGAGAAAAAGTAAGGCTTGGAGAAGTTGTGAAATTTTCCTCTGGCTATTCACCAGGAACTAGTACTCTCATGGTTATAACCTAGACTTTGCCATTATCAATAACTAACCATCTACTCTAATACCAATTTAATCATCTAATCTCTGACCAATGCCTCCTCCTTCTCCTCACTCCCTTTAGGATTCTCACTTCAACAATTACTCAACCCAATCAGAGCCCACAATCCATTTCATCCTGTCTCCTTTCCACTGTCTTTTACTCCCTTCTCATAATCTTCCTTTATGGCTCCGTTTATCCAGCCTAGATTTCCAATATTATCACTCTCTAATGTATACCTTATTACCTCTGCCTCACTCTCTTTCCATCATTATTATTTACAAATTCCAAACTTGGTTAAATCCAAAATTCTGTTTACACTATACCAATGTCTGTGCAACAGAACACTGCTGAAGAAAATAATCATGCTACCTATTCTCACTTTAAATTCATGTCAAATAAACCTTACTGTTACCCTTCTCGAAGGGATCTTGCCAATCCAGGAATCGAACTGGGGTCTCCCATATTACAGGCGGATTCTTTACCAACTGAGGTATCAGGGAAGCCCGTGTTACCCAGCAATCCTACTATATTCCCCTACTTTACTTATTTGCTCACTCTTATAGATAATTATTTCCCACATTTCCCTCTCATCTCAAACCTCTAATATGACCACACTTTCCAGCTCATAATGAAGCATGAAGACAACGTCCACATGCTCCCTCCACAGCGACTCTCTCCCTGCTTTTGCACCAACACACTGGGTTATCTTCCTCTTTACTCCCAAAAACTACTTATGCTCTGAAGGTCAATTTTTCACATCTGTACATTATATAACCTCTAACTCAAGACTTCCAGTTTGAGGAGGCCTTACAAATAGCTGTGAAAAGAAGAGAAGAAAAAAGCAAAAGAGAAAAGGAAAGATACACCCATTTGAATGCAGAGTTCCAAAAAATAGCAAGGAGAGATAAGAAAGCCTTCCTCAGTGATCAGTGAAAAGAAATAGAGGAAAACAATAGAATGGGAAAGACTAGAGATCTCTTCAAGAAAATCAGAGATACCAAGGGAATATTTCTTGCAAAGATGGGATCAATAAAGGACAGAAATGGTATGGACCTAACAGAAGCAGAGATATTAAGAAGAGGGGGCAAGAATACACAGAACTACACAAAAAGGATCTTCATGACCCAGATAATCAAGATGGTGTGATCACACACCTAGAGCCAGACATCCTGGAATGTCAAGTCAAGTGGGCCTTAGGAAGCATCACCATGAACAAAGCTAGTGGAGGTGATGGAATTCCAGTTGAGCTATTTCAAATCTTAAAAAGATGATGCTGTGAAAGTGCTGCACTCAATATGCCAGTAAATTTGGAAAACTCAGCAGTGGCCACAGGACTGGAAAAGGGCAGTTTTCATTCCAGTTCCAAAGAAAGGCAATGCCAAAGAATGCTCAAATTACCACACAATCGCACTCATCTCACACACTAGTAAAGTAATGCTCAAAATTCTGCAAGCCAGGCTTCAACAATACGTGAACCATTGAACTTCCAGATGTTCAACCCGGTTTTAGAAAAGGCAGAGAAACCTGAGATCAAATTGCCAACATCAGCTGGATCAACGAAAAAGCAAGAGAGTTCCAAAAAAAATCTATTTCTGCTTTACTGACTATGTCAAAGCCTTTGACTGTGGATCACAATAAACTGTGGAAAATTTTGAAAGAGATGGGAATACCAGACCACCTTACCTGCCTCTTGAGAAATCTGTATGCAGGTCAGGAAGTAACAGTTAGAACTGGACATGGAACAACAGACTGGTTCCAAATAGGAAAAGGAGTACATCAAGGCTGTATATTGTCACCCTGCTTATTTAACTTATATGCACAGTACATCATGGGAAACGCTGGGCTGGAAGAAGCACAAGCTGGAATCAAGATTGCCAGGAAAATATCAATAACCTCAGATATGCAGATGACACCACCTTTATGGAAGAAAGTGAAGAAGAACTAAAGAGCCTCTTGATGAAAGTGAAAGAGGAGCGTGAAAAGGCTGG